GCCGCTCGCCCAGCGCGCTGCGCGCTGCGGAGCCCGCTGGAGACCCGAGCTCCTTCTGCTCCCCGGCTGGCCTAGCCAAGCTCTTGGCCCCTGCTCCCACGACTTCCTTCTGCGTCCTCCTTCCCTGTTCCCCCTATACCCCCACTCTGCCCCCTGCCCCCGTCTTCCCTTCTACCTCCCCTGCATCCCTCCTTCACTATTTTCATGCTTCCCACATTCTCTCTCCCTCTTCCTCCTTTCCCCTGCTACCCCTGTCCCCTTTCCCTCTCTTTCTGCTCCCCCTTGCCCCTGCTCCCCAGCTTCTTTCTCCTCCCCCTCCTTCCGGCCCCTCCTTACCTCCTGCTCCTCTTGCAGTGCTCCAGCAAGTTTCTCTATAGTCCCAATTTCTTCATTTACTTAAATATAATTTGCTGAAATTAATATTATCTAGAAGGAAAAAAGCTTTGCCTTTCCTCTCTCTGCGCTCTCACAGCAGGACTGCACTTTGGGCCTGGTCATGGTTCTGAGGCTCCTGACTTGCCTGTGGGGTGAGAAGAACCACCTGCTGTGAACATGGTGAAGACAGGAGCCAATAAACACTGAGCCTTTACTATGCGCCAGACTCTTCTGTGCTCACTCTGTCTGAACAGATTCCTCTAAGCCTAGAATTACCTGTACCCACCTTACAGACAGGAAAACCTGGGGTGCAGTGATGTTCAGCAGTCTGTTTCCAAAACAAGCTAGGGAGCAACAGACCAGGATCCAGACCAGAAGAGAGCCTCCCAGCACCTTGTTTGGAGGTGTGAACAGTGGAAACCAGACTCCAGAGTTCAGAATGCTCAGAAGTAACAGTGCAGGGCAGATGCGTCAAGAGGCCAGAGCCCAAATCCTAGGCTGCCCGATGCCAGAAGCATCCTCCATGGCCTGGAGAAAGCAGCTGTGAAACACTAGAACAGTGTTTCCAGGATGCAAATGCAGGACCCTCGGACTTGGCCTGCAGTGACCTGTAGAGCCAAGTGGAACCAAAGTCTCCCCTGAGCAGAAGTGAAGAACAGGGCCTCCTCAACCTCTGAAACAAGACAGGGGTGCCACCTACAGTTGCAGGAAAGGCCAAAATAAGGAGAGGCTGCAAAGTCCAAGGTTGCAACCAATCTGTCCTCCATTGCCCCAACCCTAAGCAGCTTAAATGCCTTCTCTAAGGCCCAGTAGGAGGCCCAGATTGACCATGCCTGTCTTCTTGACTGTCAACCTTCAATAAAGCTCTTTTGTTTTGCACAATTTGTGCCATAGTATTGACTTCTCTGCACGTCCACTAAGGGCTCTCTGGGATGATGGCAGTGTTGGCAGTATGGGTCTTGGGGCCCTTCCAGGTGGTGGCTCAGGGATCCTGTGTACTTGCAGGTGGTGACTGTGTCACCTGGGACCTGTGCATCTGTGAGCACAGGCACCTGTACCTGCACAAAGGCATGTAATGGCAGTTCAGCAAGGGTGCAAAGCTGCACAACTAAACAGCAAACAGATGCATTAGTTGTGGAGTATGTCATGCTGCTCAGTCAAAAATGGACAAGAATGAGTTGCACGCAGCAAGGAATGAAGAAGCCAAGCATGCAGGAATATTATCATTGAATTTGATGTATGAGGTCTGGAAAGGGGAGGAACCGGGCCCCAGGCTGTGTGTCCACACCGTCAAGAACCCGGGGGAGGAGCTGGGTGCCATGTTTCTGGAGTCCTTCTCTCCATCTGAGTGGTGAGTTCATGATCTGTCTTTACAGCATTATAATCAGGCCATGTTTGTTTTATTCACTTTCATGAATTATACTTTATTTCAGAATGGTCAAAAATATTCAAGCCTATAAATCCTGCTAAATAGGACTTGTGGTTATTTGCACTCCAAAGAGCTATGTGCCTGAGCCCAGCACAGGGCTAAACACATATTGCACCCTCTGTGGGTTAGATAACACTCTAATCATAAAGCTGGAATGTGATCTGAGTGCCCAGATCCTGATGATTCAAAACTTCCAGGAGCACTTCACAAAGCACAGCCACTAACTGTGTATATCTCTACCGTTTCCTTTTAATATGGGTATCATCTTCCACAAGGGCTGTTAGAGGTGCTGATATTTTTAACCAACTGAACTGGTTCCACAGGATTATTACAGAAGAGGTAAATAGTACATAAGTTCCGGGAGAAAATGGAAACTTGAGGAGGGCCTAGAGGAACAGCAGGTGCCTTCGCCTGGGGAGGACAGGCTCTGCTCACATGGGGACAGGCTGAGCCACACTGCACACCTTTCCCCTCAGTCTTACTTCATTTTCCTCTTTAAATCCCTGCTCTGGTTCCTCCTGGCTGCTGCCACTCTGCTGGTCCCCTTAGTGAGGAGGGCCACTTCCCACCCCCTCCGAGCTGCCTCAGCATCTGGCAACCACCCAGCCATCTGACCCTCCACAGAAGAACCTTCCTCCCAGGCTTTCCCAAGAACTGACAGCCTTCCAACTCCCCTCCCAAACACACCACAGGAACTCCCAGGCCAAGCATTTCCCAGCTGCCTGAGTCCTCCCTGATGATAAGAACTCTTTAGAAACTCCCCTTGGTGTTGCGAAACCCCGACCTCCCCTAGTTTCACAGCTACCCTGAAGATAAGAACAGCCGTGTCATCTTTTCCCAGCAGCCTACTTGCTCGTCAGCAGTTCTGCAACAATGAATTGTCCTCCCCCGTGCAAAACCTGCAGCTCTCTCTCCGCTCTTCCCAATCCTGCAATGGAGGACGGGAAGGGAGAAAGAAAGGTGCCTTCCTAAAGGATCCTGTGGCTCTCCAAAGTCACTGCTGGGACTGCAGTCACAATGTAAGAACTGGAAAGAAAGGGCAGATTGTCGAACGTCATGCAGACCTGCCACATCACTTCTTGAGGAGAGAGCAGACTTTGCTATACAGGTGCCTGATTGCTCTGTCGTATGCATCCTTAAAGGATGCACTAGAAGGCAGATACTCTCTTACATGTTGAATCATTGAAGAAATTCAATTTCAGAGATGAAGGGTGCAGCTTTTGGCTGTCTTGTTGAGTGGAGGAATCCGACTCATGAACTCAGGATGACGAGGTGTATGCAAGACCTGTGAGCATAGATATGTCAGAGCAGGCTGTGACTTCAAGTTCACAAGTCCAAGAAGAAAAAGAGATGCCTGTAAAGCAAGTGAAACATCAGACATCACATGGAGAGGCCCCGGAGGGCAAAGCATGGAAGAAAATTAAAGTCACCTGAGGACAGATTTCTGCATGGGTGTGAAGGACTTGCCCTGGCACAGGTGGCTTGCAAGTACAGGGTCAAAAAAAAAGACCCTCCACTCCCATCTACCAGATGGTCCTTAATCTCCAGCAAATTATAGCCACACTTATTGAACTCGATGCCCCGCACTTTTTGTGGTTCATTCCTATGAAATCTACACATGTGCTATTGCCTCCCCAGCTTTGTCCATTAGTACATGAGGAATTTCCCAAGTTTGACCAGCAGGAGGCAGAAGCAGGACTGAGTTTGGAGGCCAGTCTGGCCAAACTCAGTGCCCTCCCACAGAAGGCCAGGCCCATACAAGGTAGCAGAGCTACGGAGTGAGTGGGTTCTGCAACAATAGGTGGTCTTGAGCCTCTCACAGCTTGTTCACAGCCAGAGCAGAGCAGTGCTGGGGTCTCAGTCCCTCGAGGGGCACAGGGCACAACGAGCTCAGGCCCCTAGCACAGGATGAAGGAAACAGACCCCACAGTCTTCAACACCCAGGAGAACAAGATCAATAATAAAGCCTAGGAAGGAGGGCAGAAGAGAGAACCCACAATGCTTGGCTCTTTAACAGCTGGGTAGAAAGTGTCCTCCTGTTAGCTGCTGCTTATGTGTCTGAGGTAGCAAGAGGTTTGGAGAGATGCCAGGGCAGTGAAGAAGCAGGACGTCTGTCGTGGCTCATTGAAACATCATCTTCACACATGTGCCTGCTTTCATACGTGAAGCCGCTCTATCTATTCACTACATCAGTTCCATAACCCTTAATCGAGTCTCTTTGTTAACCTAAGGACTTGTAAAATGATCAACTATGTTGTTTATTTTTTTTCCTGTGATTAAAAAATTCTACTAATTCAGTGACTTCCTAGAGTCAGAGCTGGGAGGTCTGTGTGTGGTGGAAGTAGGCAAAGCTCCCTGGTGGTGCTCACTCAGTGGTGCTCCCACCCCTAGCTCTCCTCCTGCGGAGGTGCTTAGCCTCCCACACCTGCCAGAACCCAGGGGAAGAAGTGGGTCAGTGCAGCCAGTGCTGTCCAAGGGGCTACAAGG